TGAGTGCTCATCCAACACTGGTGATTCCATACTTTTTGCCAGGGGTTGTAGATGGTCTCCAGGATCAAGGATCTCTCCTGCTGTTATATGGCACTGTAGAAGTCTATAGGAGAGCAGCTTGACCAAGCTCATGATAAGATCATGCAGACACATGATCTCATCTTCAGGTACAATCTAAAGCACAAAAGGGGTGAGGAGCACATTATAAAATTTTCCATTACACTCATCACCATTGTCACGTAGTAGTAAGTTATGTGTATTAAAAAAACGGGCTGGCCTATTTGGATTTACTTAGATGTCATACATTTTAGAGTTTTAGATTTTTCTAAAATGTTATGTTTTTGCTTTGACCTACCAGATTCATTGAATATGTTTATTGTTAATGTTTGTTCAAACTTTCTTTTTTTCAGCCTGACGGTGTACTGACCAAAGTAGTTCAGAGTGTAACTTTAAATCCAGCTGTAAAAGGTCAAAGTATGTTTTTACATCATCACGGCAAGATTTCAGTGATATACGGTTTTAGTTTTTTTCCTAACTAATTCAATTGTTCTTTTCTACTTTCAGGTGGAGCACAAGTGGAAATCCTGAACAGTAATATTTCCAGGAAAGATTTGGTACCAAACTCACCAACCAGCACATATGTTTCTGTGACTGGTGAGAGATGCTGTAACACCCACAAGAATAAAGCAAACAAAGCTGCTTGACAATCAACTATGAATTGATCTGGATTTCTTCCACCTTTCTGGAAGTTGGAATATTTAAATTTTTCATCTATACGTACATTTACTGATTTTATTTTGTGTGTGCAGGCAGAGAACAGGTTTCTGGACTTGTGGAGAATCCCATCAGTGGTAGATCCATGGGTACTCTGATCTACCAGCCTGGAGGCGCTGGTGAGGCGAACATGATCCAAATGACTCTGCCAGTCATTGCAACCATATATTTGGACATAACCAGTCAGTGGGAGGCTGTTGGTTTGAACAAACGTAATGAGGCTCTTCAGCACATAAGAACTGGTAAAGTCATTTAGATGTAAAGAGAAATGGATTTCACTTGAAATGTGTGCTCTTTTGATTGTTGACTAAATGAATGTGTGGATATTTGTGAATAGACTAATAATTTACTATCTGTTTAGGATACAACAACGAGCTAAGGTTTCGTAAAGGCGATGGCTCATTTTCTATTTTTGCTAATCATGGAAGTAGCACCTGGTAAGGCATTCAAGGTTCAACTGTATTTTTTGCAGACAATACCTCACTTCTCAGTATTTGTTCTATATGCAGTTTGATGAACTAAACTATTAATGTTTTCTTCCCCACAAGGCTGACAGCATATGTGACCAAGGTGTTTTCTTTAGCTTACAACTTGATAGCAGTGCAAAATGAACACATCTGTGGTGCTGTGAAGTATCTGATCCTCAACGCTCAGCAACCTGATGGCATGTTTAAAGAAGTTGGAAAAGTATACCATGGAGAGATGCAGGTTAGTGCACCACTACAGAGACTATATCCTGGAAGGACAGTTTATTTCTACTAACATGGTGGCACATATTTAAGGAAATTGCATCTGTGAGTGGAACAACATAGTGAAAAATGTGAGTTGGGTCCATCAAAGCATTCCCAAATCTTCTTTTTTTAATGGCAAAGAAAAGAGTGGAGAAGATGGATTAGCTTGTCGTCAGTTAGGATCTTAGTTTCACAGAATATTTTAGGATCATTTTGGTGCCATTAATACCGGAGTGACCAGCGTAACCAAACTGACTCATGTAACAAAGGCTGATTTCTGTTTCTGCGCTCACAGCAGTGTGTGACCAAACTGTTGACCAGCCTGAGTCAAAAGTTGCATGATGAAGGCCTTTGTTAGTTAAATGATCAAATTGCTACATTTTTTTATGTCGTCTTTTTCTAAAAATCATACAACTCAATAAATGACAAGGAACAAGAGTCAACAGCAGAATAAGCTGCTTAGCACTAGCAGAGATGATATTTCATGTTTTAATGGGCTCAGCATTGGCTCTGCTGTACAACATGCAGCATCTAAAGTGAAATAAACAGTATGTATTTTTACAGTATTTACATTTGTTGTCAAGAAGCATAGTTACAAAAAATCTACCAACATAAATGCCTTTACCTCTTGTGCCATGTTTATTTCCACTATTAAAATATTATCTGCTATGAAACTGAGAATTCATTAATGAAACAAAACCCAGTGTTTCATTTATTGAACCATCATGATGAATATTTTTACCTGACATGTTGGTGTTTGCGTTTGTGCTCATTCAGGGTGATGTGCTTGGCACAGACTCAGATGCCTCCATGACGGCCTTCTGCCTGATTGCCCTGCAGGAATCACGCACAATATGTGGAGCAACTTTAAATGTGAGTGCCTCGACTCCTTCACACTGTTTTCTAATTCCATGTTTTCAACTTCTTCATTTAGTTCAAAACTGTTTGTACTAAAGGTTTGTCAAAACAACTCTGTGACAGTGAATAGAAGGGAATATTAAAGGTTTATGTCTTCACAATGATGTATCTCGATGGCTTCCCAACAAACCATTTCATTCCCATGTTCTCCTTTTCATTTCCCTAGAGTCTTCCATCCAGTATACCAAGAGCAGTCACCTACCTTGAGAGACGTCTCCCCAACCTCGCCAACCCTTATGCCGTCGCCATTACGTCATACGCTCTGGCCAATGAAAACAAACTTAACCGGGAAATCCTCTACAAGTTTGCTTCTCCTGGTATTTGCACTACACAAAAAAAATCTAAATAAGTTACACACACATATATATGTGTGTATACATGCTGTGTCTTAGGGCCTGGGGCCCATAGGCAGAAGTGCTGTTTTGAGGGTTAGGTTTAGGACTAAGGTGTGAATTGAGCTTAAGTTATGATAGGCTTAGGATAAATTAATGAAAAATTAATGGAAGTCAAGGTGACAACTTTGTGAAGATAGGAAGACATACTTTTGTGTGTGTTTGGGTCAGGGCTGGCCCAAGGCATAAGAAAACTAAGCGGGTGCTTTTTGTTTTTTTTTAACAATAATATATATTTGGTCATGTAGAACCCTAAGAGAAATTAATTTAATCAAAGTATCTCATGAATATGTGTATGTGTATTTCATCCTACGTCCAGTGCATACTAGTTTTTTGTTGTTGTTGCTTTTACTACCACTGGATGATACATGCATACAGGATGTAATGTAAACAGCTGTCAGAGATGCAATGAGCTTATAGGGGTGCAAATGATCTAATTGTCTGTTGATTGCAGAAATCCACATTATATTAGCAGAAATAGAGGGTCCAAATTTCCCTTTGGGCCCCATGGAGGCTTGGGTCGGCCCTGGTTTGGGTGGTTAGGTCTGTCTGGTAATTTATGTCAGAAATATTTCAAAACCTTTCAAAATGTTTCTGTTTTTCAGAGTTAAACCATTGGCCTATATCTGGAAAACAGACATTCACACAAGAGACGACAGGTTATGCTCTCTTGGCTCTGGTCAGAGCTCAGGTGAGAAATTGTTCCATAAATATAGAGCTATGGTGATTTTTTTTTATCATTACATTGAAATACAAAAAATTGAACATCAACTGGAGCAGCCCTGTTTTATAACATGAAAACAGAGTTGTTTTAATGTTTTTTGTTTTTTTTTAAATTAATAAATAGCTTTTTATGTGGGATTTTGCAGGCAATATCTTTTCACTGGTGGATAGCAGTGAGAGCCATTTCAGTTTGGATATTTAATGGAAAATTAGGAGAAATAATGCTTAAACTAGAGTATATTCCAAATAAACTTCTGAAATTTAAAATAACCTAAAATTGGTAACATTTTAATCACGTTGAGGGAGCCTTGTACCAAGATGTTGTGCTTAAGCTTATAACAAATGTGCATTGATCCCAAATATTTTCATTGAAATGAGACATCACATGCATTTCAGGGAAGAGCTGCATCTATGTGTTTATTAATGAAAATCAGATTAAATAATCAATCATTTGGCATTTGTGCTACTGGCTTTTGAAAAAAAAACTAGTTGGGGACAAAATAATTTTCAGAATTATTTAAAATAATTTAATCACTTTAAAAACATTAAGAACACAAAACATTTTATGGTTTTTGTTATGAATACCATTACTAATGTCAGTCCTCAATATACATAGCAGCTATTAACCCTTTCATGCATGAATTATGATCCTTTGTGTCAGGATTTTTCCCCATTTTTTATTTATTTTCTTAAGGCATAAAAAAAGGTAGAAAAAAATTTGTAAAGAAAATTTTTTATTTAGATGATCAATTGTAATTTTCTCTAAATACAAAGTTGTTATTTGAAAAACACATCAGTAGTATTGTTCTTTAGGGCTTATCTGATGTTACAATATGTTTTGTTTCTTTTTTACCTGCAAGAGTCGTCTATAGTAGAAGGAGGGACTGGGTCAGTTGGCATGCTTTTTGTCTGTCGGCCATATTGGATTTAACTAAAATAACTTCTTGCATTTGCAGCTGATGGCCAGTAGTTGATAGAGTATTTTATGATGCATTAGTGTCCACTTCAGTGGTCTGTGTGCATTTATAACATAAAAATCCACAAGAAGCACAAGAAAATGGCTTCAGCTGTCCACTGTAGTGACCACTATGAGATTTTTATTTCTTTAGGTGGCACTTTTATGTCTTAAAATTTGTTTTTTCATTTGGTTTGCTTAAAAAAAATTGCTATATTTACAGTACATAAATAAATTAAACGAAATTAAAACAAAACCAAACAAAACCAAACATAGGAAATAAATTGCAATGTTTTCAGAAAGTGTATTGTAATTGGGAGTCAACAGAACAAAAAATTCCCATTGGACACAGATTGCTGTACTTAGTTTAAAATGCATCTGAAAAAAATCAATGAGAAAATTAAAGAAAAATGAAAATTCCCTTGAAAAATAAAATAAATTAATTAAGCAGCCAGAAACATAATGTCTGGATCCAGGAAGGTTAACTAAAGTAACATTAAAATTAAAATATTTTTCTGCATTACTTTTTCATCCTGTGTGATTGTGGGTGAAGGGAGAACTGATGAAGATTATATTACCAGGACTAGGGGAACATTATTCTTGCATGAATTTAGCACAGTGAGTTCAGTATGGAAAAATCAAATAAGTGGGGAGAAAAGGCATTGAAATTACGCAGCATATATAGAGAAAGAACTGCTAGTTTCTTTTTCTTTCATTATAGCACTTTGAAGACGCACGGCCTATCGTTAGATGGTTTAACCAACAACAAAAAGTGGGTGGAGGCTATGGATCAACACAGGTAACTTCTAAACTTCTAGACTTTTTCTTAGGGAAATATCACTTTCCCTAGTTAAACTGGATTTTTTTCTTAATTCTTCTCATTTGTAATTTTTCTGTCTTCCCAGGCCACCATTATCGTGTACCAGGCCGTGGCAGAGTACTGGACCAAAGCTAAAGAACCAGAATACGATCTGAATGTTGACATCTTGTTGCCGGGCAGATCAAGGCCTAACAAGTTCAACTTTAACAGAGATAATCTGTTCGCCACAAGAACATCTAAAGTGAGATCACAACCTTCCTTCACATTTACAACATTTGAACTTTTTTATGATTTGCTTTTTCCTAAATTACAAGTTAAAATCTTGACAGGTTTCTTACATCAACCAGGATGTGAAAGTTACTGCTTCAGGAATTGGAGAAGCAACAGTGAAAGTAAGTAACTTTGTGTTATACTCCAGGCAAGTACTAAGATATTTTTTAGCAGTGTATGAGCTGTGAACCATTAACACTAAGCAAAAGCTTTCAGACACAAAGTATAAAAATAAAACAATATACCTTTCAACCTAATTCTATTCTCTCTGCATATTCCATCATATAAAATGTAATCAAATGAGACCGTCTCTTTTCAAGTATCAAAGATTTTTTGAAATACAACTACTTCTGGTTTGAAGAATTTTGATTACTTTTTACAAAATAATTCTGAGCTTTAAAATTTTGTTTGAATTGCACCTTTCAAAAGTTTTTCAGAATATCTCTGTTTCATCTCAGGTACTTTTGATGTGGAAAATCTGAATTTATATGCATATATGCTATACACTTTACTTATTCTAATAAATAATATGGAAAAAGACCAATCTCTGTTCTTTAGAAACAGGGAACAACAGTTGTTGTTCCAACAGGGTCACACTGATCCTCTGTGCGCATTTACAAAGGATTTTTTTAAAACCGTGTGATGGTTAATTGATATCTGAAGAGACATAAGCCAGCCTAAATTAATCACCTGCAGTCTGTTTACTTTTTGCCATGTTCAAATTATTGTTTAGATTCCAAATCTCATTGCAAATCAATTGAATTTTGGAAAATGGTTGCATTTTTGTCATTGGTTATTTTGCACATGAGGCACATTTAGACAGATCAATAATTTTACTCTCTCAATGTCAGATGGTGTCATTGTATTACACCATTCCTAAAGAAAAGGAAAGTGACTGCCAGAAGTTCAATCTCTCTGTGCAACTAATCCCAGGTAATTTTTAGACATTGCTGTTTTGTAACATCTCGCCATTTTATCTCTTCTTGTGATTTGCCCAAAAAGTTTATGCATATTTTATTAATAATTTCTTCAGAAATATCGGATGAGGATAGGAAGACATATAAACTTAAGATAGATGTTTTGTGAGTATTGTCCACACTTGAACTTTTGTTAAAAATAATTACCTGAAATGACGTAAGTTGCCCTGTGCATTCCACATACAGGTATAAGGACAGGGATCGAGACGCAACCATGTCAATCTTGGACATCGGCCTTCTGACTGGCTTCACTGTTGACACGCAGGATCTGGACTTGGTGACAGATTGAGATACATGAACATAGAAGAGTTTTAACATTCAGTGTTGGACGTTTTTGATATTCTGTTTTAAAGTTTATTAGATGATTGAGGCCACATGTTTGTTTCTGCAGTTGTCTACAGGACGCGCCCGCACCATTGCAAGGTATGAGATGAACACAGTTCTGTCTGAAAAAGGCTCACTCATCATCTATCTGGACAAGGTAATAATTCACCTTTCTGTTGAGTTTTCTCCTCATTTGTTAGTTGCTCCATCATAAATGTAAATCTCTTACCAGGTTTCACACACACGGCCAGAGGAGATCAGCTTTAGGATCCATCAGACATTAAAAGTTGGCGTCTTACAACCAGCAGCCGTGTCTGTCTATGAGTACTACGACCGTAAGTTTTAGCGGGATGGGCTTTAAGACTTTTGTGTGAAACGGTTTTCATTCCATTTCACATATGTATTAATGACTAATAGACTTTTATTAGACACTTCTTCATGTCTAATAGACCATAACAAATAGAGAGCAGTTGTTTAAAAGATTTTTAGAAATCAAAAAATATAGAATATAATGGATCGAATAAAGTGCCTTGTATTTTTATTTTAGATTTTTTAATAGGGATTGAGATATTAAAATAATTTTGTTTCCCATTTTAGAAGCACCATGTGTGAAACTTTACCATCCAGAGAGACAGAATGGAAAGCTCTGTAAAAGTTATGAATGCATCTGTGTAGAAGGTAAGAAAAAAACTGAGTCCAATTGTCTTAATTTAAATTACAAATTAAACATTTGTTTTTCTGCATTCCAATTTGTCCAAATTAATTAACTTATGTAATAATATACAAATTAGACTTAAGACTGCAATGAAATTAAGTGAGAGACTGAACATAATCTGCAAGATGACCAGTATATGCACACAAAGTCCCTTTCTAGAGACTCGTCTAATGAATTAGACTATTATTCAAATGTTGATGTTTTTCAGTAACTCAATTCATTAAGTGAAACCCATTATATAGATTAATGACACAGACTGACACAATTTAACAAAGAATGTTAAGTAGTTTGTTTTTGTCTGTTATAATAATTTTTTCTCTTGCAGCTAATGGAAACAGGACATTTAGGATTAGAATATTACATCAGACCAACAAAAACATTTTACGAACACAGAATTGTGGGCTGAATGAAAAAAAAAATGCTGTCTCTGTTCTACATCTAGCAACAATCTCCAATGGATCAATGATTAAGTTTGCAAGACATTTTTTTTTATTTCAAGTAAAAGAGCCATGCTAAAATCATATAAGACCTTGTAACGGAAAGCGCTATGGTCTGATGACACCAAAAATTTACTCTTGACAAAAATTTATTAATTATTAGTTTAAGATTTAACACATGTATGTACCTTAAATCTTAAACTAATAATTAATAAATTTTAAACACATGTATGTACCTTTCTAAATGTTTTCTTTTCTTCAAGCAGATTTATTTTTTAGTTGCATTTCAATAAAACCTGCCATTTTAACAAGTGTTTGTACACTTGCATCTCTTATAATGTTTCAGAGAGATGCAACATGCAGAAGCGCTACAGACACAACACTGAGGAGCGCATAGCTAAGATTTGCGAGAACACAGAGACCAGCAAAACAGATTTTGGTAAGAAACAGCAAGTGGGCCAGAAGTAGCCAAAATTCCTACCCAACGAAAATACAGCAAGTTTGATTATTCATAACGACCACATTGTCTGCACACAGCATACAAAGCTACAGTGGAAGAAACTGATTTTGAGTCGTCTGCAGACTTTTACATAATGCGCATTGTCGAGGTTATTAAAGAAGGTGGGTACCTATATTTTCATAACTTTAAATCATTCCTAGATGGAAGTGGTGACAGTCGCATGAAATATTTATAGACACCGTCTCTGATTATGTCTTTTGTTAAACCTGTTTTTGTGTTGTAAGGAGATGTAGCTTGTTTGTGTAAAAACCTACTAATTTAAATGTTACTGTAGTGCAGTGTCATCTGTTATTGTGATTGTTTTTCATTCTTTTGTACCTTGTTCTACTAACATTTAGAATTTGAGCTTATTTGAGTGTTTTTGCTTGGATACAGAGATTTAAAAGGCTTAAAGGGTAATAGGTTAGCTATTGAGTCACTTACAGTGAAAAAGCAGCACATTTCACTTACAGTAATGCCATATTGTCTAAAAATGTGCTTCTTTTTCTTTCTCCTTTTTTGTTTTTATCTGCTTTTGAACCACAGGACCAATTGATGCAGATGCTGTTGGTAAACTGCGCACGTTTTTCAGTCGTCGGTACTGCAGAGAAGCATTAAATGTGGAAAAAGGCAAAACCTACCTGATCATGGGATCATCCAATGACATTTCTGGAAATAACCAGACGCAAATGTGGGTTTCTGAACATTAGGGGATAGTCCTTTATAAACATCCTCTAATTTGCAGCCGCTCATAAGTCATTGCCAGTTTATTCATATTTGTACCAGCAATCCACAGAGAGCTGGGCAACTCACCATTCCACGTATTTCTGTTCTTGTCCCTGTTTAGATTTCAGTATGAGCTCGGGGAGAAGACCTGGATCGAGTACTGGCCCTCAGAAGCAGAGTGCCGTCTTAATGACTACCAACCAACCTGCATGGGTTTCGAGGAGATGGCCGATCAGTACGCCATTTTTGGATGTCAGCAGTAACTGAACTCAAGGAAATAACTGTCCAATTTTAAATAGGCTTAATTTTGCAGTTTTTTTTTTACATCTGCTGATTGTATTATTAAAAATTTCTTGGGTGTCTCATCTTTAATTATTGTCTGGAATTGAAACTGTTTTCCCCATCTTTCTCTGTTTCAGCTCTCATTATATACAAAAAATTCTATACTCCCTTAAACACCTTCTTTAAATATTTGTGGGTCTTTTTCAAAGTGAGGTGATGTGAAGCTGTTAGTAGGAATAGTTGTCTAAAGTATGAAAGAACATGTCATGTCACTGGGTGCTCCGGAAATTAAACAGATCCTATAGTGATTCAGACACACAGTCTGTTTTAGCTTTAGTTTTAGCTATTTAAATCCACTCAGAATAAACATGTCACAATTCACTTTGCTACAGTGCTTTGTTAGGGTCTTGGCGTATTTACTCTGATTGAGTCTGCCAGCTGTATCGCTCTACCAAAATAGCTGTGACTCGCTAGTCCACTGGATTTTACAACCTGCTGAGTCACAAAATCAAATGTTGAGAAAACGGGTACAGCTCACACATAAATACCCCTTTTACTACTGGAAAGGGAGTTTTTACAGATAACTTCACATTCAAATTAACCATTTAATATAAACAGCCCAGCGTTTCCCAACCCTGAACCAGATGATTTATGTTCAGCAAAACTTTGTTAATCAGCCATCAGTTGAAATTCGGCGTGCTGAAGCAGGGCCACTGTGGCTCCGAGATGAGGCTTGGGAAACATTGGTTTAACACAAAGAACCTTCTTGAGTATTACAGAGCAAAAGTATTATTCAACAATTGCAAAACGACAATTTTGTCAAGTTGTTTTATTATTTTACCACCTCAATAATTCGGGTACATAATAGATACACATTTGGACAAGTATTTCATAACAATTCCTAGAAATAAAAAAATGAAAACATCAAATAAGAGATGTAGGTGAACTGATTGCCTGGATTAAAAGATAAGCTAGAAAAGTAGTATTGTAGATGTGTAAATTTGAACAAATATATGGAAAATGTTTGAAATCAATTCCCATAATTATTTAGATTGATTAGTCTAAATTGGGTACATTTGTTCTGGTCATATTGTCTTTATTTGTTGGTGTTTTCAAAGATCAAAGTTCAAGTAGCTGGTGAAGCAAACTAAGTAAAAACTGAACAAAAGAAGTACACATTCTGAGGAAATGATGCCTAACCCTGACAATGATTAAATAACCGAATATATCGACCAGCAAAGAAATGTGGAAAAAAACGAGAAACGCATAAAGCCTGACAGTTTAATTATCTAATTATTTAATTATCTATTTCCTGTTTTGTTTGCTTTTACATAAATATTGCAACTTTTTCACCAATACATGTCTGACAGCTTTAGTTGCTACTTCACCTTATAAATGTAAATATAAACATATCAACAAATGTCTAGCTTATCATATTAATCCTTTTTCTTTAAAGGTGCAGTGCATCTGTGGGCAGCACAATCCCCTGCACACACAGATTCCCACCTCAATCTATAACCAGGCAAATCGTACAAAAGATCTTATAAAAAAATTATTTTAAAAAACCCCTCAGATTTCAAAGAATCAGGAATCAGTGTGATAAGTGAAGCCCAGGCTTCACTTATCTCAATCTAAGGTAAATCTAATGCTGAAAAAGATATAAATTAAAAATACTATGTACTTTTGGCGAGTTAATTTTAAAGAATACATATTTTTAAAAATCTTAAATTCTGTCTTAAAGAATCTATTCAGTGCCGTGCAATCATGTTGTGTTTTGGCCCGTCAATGTAGAAGATCAAAGCACTCCAGTGTTCTTAATATACATAAATCAATTACACTGTAAAATAGCCCGTTGTTTAGTTTGTCTAACAGAGTGCCTTTTTACAGTGATCATTACTTGCTTCACCATTTGACAAATTATGAAAGTCCCACTGCGTAAGCTGGTTAACTGTCTTTCAATTGGAGAAAGTAAAAGAGGCAGGAAGAGGATCCTGTTGCCTGAGGATAAAAGACAGGCACACCAGCGATCTGTAGCCACAGCAGAGATGGGATCAATGATGGGAATCTCTGCTCTCCAGCTTCTGCTGGTAGCTTTTTCCTGTCTGACTTCTCAGTCGAGTGCATTTCCTTTGTAAGTGTATCTGGAAAACCTTTTCTTTTTTTCTATAATTGATACTTGTTGCCTTTAAATTAAATGAGCCAACATCTCATTCAAGTTATGATCCTCAATGCGCGATAGTAAATCAGGGATGATCTTTCTTATTCTGCTCTTGATTTGATTCTTCGCTGCAGTTAATAATGTATTCATTGTCTCAGAGCCTGTTTATTTTAGAATTTGTTTTGCTTTAGTTCATGACAAAACATAGTGGATGTGTGCTTTTGCCAAATGCAACGTCTTATCCCAACAGTGTTACGTCTGCGTAATTTGTATTGTCATTGCAATAGCATTGAAACAAACATGCTTTAAAAACAGCAAAATTTAAACATTTGCTACAGTAACCAAATTAAAACTTTGCATAAAACAAAAAAAGTGATTTTTAATTATTGAATATTAAAAGTGCTGCTTAAACTTTGATTCCATCGTTGTGTCACTCAGATCAAAGTACTGTTTGCACAAAATGCCAGTTAATTATCTGCCTATCTCAGGCTTTATTTGGTTCCATGAACCAGACAAAGCAAATAAAGCAACGGACCAAGTCCAGAACTAACTTTTCATCGTTCTACCGTTAGATAAGTCCAGATAATGTTCATTCCTGAAATGCTGAAGGTTGAACATTTCACTCTATTTTACCTTTCATTTGGGGTAAAACTCAATTTAGATTTGGTTTTAGCCTCTTATGGAAAGTGTTTTCTTCTAAATTGGAAAATAGTTGTTGGATCTGTTCAACAGGAATGAAATAATTAATTTACATATAAAAATATTTTTTCTTTATATGTAGTTTATTCTACAACTTATACCTTCTTTTTTTCTCAACAGGAAAGTTTTGTCCGCCCCCAACTTGTTGCGAGTTGGTGCGGCAGAAAACATATTTGTGGAAATTCAAGACTGCGCATCTGAAGAAGAGGTTTCTGTTGAAATTGCTGCATGGAGCTTTCCAGGAAAAACAAAAAAATTAGCATCAACACGTGTGAGGCTTACAAAAGAAGGACATTTCCAGAATCTTGGAAGAATAACGGTAAAATCATGTCAAGACCCATTTTTGTTACAAAGTGTTTCACAGTTAACATTCATGTTAGTATAAAAAATAGACATTTTCTTTTTATATATACTAATGTATATATTTCATAATTCTGTACTATTATTATACTTATCCTTGAGACGATTTTAAAAAATTATTTAACTTTTAAATAACCGGGTTACTGTTGTTTCTCAGATCCCTGCTGATGAGTTCGAAATCAACCCAAAAAGAAAGCACTATGTTTACCTTCAAGCAAACTTTGGCGACAGTTTGCTGGAGAAAGTTGCGTTGGTTTCTTTTGAGCCTGGTTATATTTTCATCCAAACTGACAAAACTATCTACACCCCTAACAGCAATGGTAAATATGGCTTGTGGAGTATGTCTTTTGATCCCCATTTTTCATACCATGGTTCACTTCCAAAGATGCTTATAAATTACTGGAGGAGTTCTTTAAAAAAAAAAAAAAAAGAATGACGTCATGGGTCCATGTCTCTGTCTCTATTCTACATATATACATATATATATATATATATATATATATATATATATATATATATATATTTTTTTCTGTGGCGCTGCATCCTGTGGTGTGGACAGGACACAGGACTGGGGGCCTTAGTGTTGCTTAACATGCAAATGAAACCTTGTAATATTATAATATTGCCAAGAAAACTACAAACTATCACACACAAAGGAAGTTCAAAAAAAAAAAAAAAGACTTGCGTTCTAAAACCATGCAGTTATTGTCGATAGAAATAAAGATAGTTATTCTCACGGAAATGCTTTTTGCTTTTCAACAAACTGAAACGTTGTGTAATTGTGATGAAACATGTAAACAAGTGCCTGCCCTCTGTTTTGTTTGACAGTCAACTACAGATTGTTTGCAATCAGACCTGGCATGGAACCGGTGGAGAGAGCGTCCGAAGCTGATGCTTTAATTAACATTCAGATTGTGGTATTGTACTATATTCAAAACTAAATATATGAAACCATATCAAAGTTTAAGAAATTGAACATAATGCATATGCATATTAATTATTCAAGGAAGCTCAAGTATTTCTGTCACATATGTAACTATAAGAGTATTTTAGTTTTAAGTACAAGTCAGAAATACAATCCTACTCATTGAATTACAATATTATTAGAAAAATGTCGTTTCTTTCAGTAACTTAATTCACCAAGTGAAACACATTATGGAGATTATTTATACAGAATGACTTTTAAGTCTTTTATTTCTGTTAACGATGTCTTTCTCCTAACATCTACTAAAACCTCCATCCATCCATCCATCCATCCATCCATCCATCCATTCATTCATTCATTTTCTATCACCCTTGTCCCTAGTGGGGTCGGGAGGGTTGCTGGTGCCTATCTCCAGCCAATATCTGTCTTGCTGAAGTACTAAAAATTTAACATTTAGAAATAGAATATTACATTAATTATTAAAGTTTTTCATACAGAAATTTGGGCAATTGAAAAGCATGTTTAATACCTGCTTGAAGGTTATTTGTTTCAAGAAGCACTTTTAATTTGATAAATTACCTTTATCATAACTCATATTCTAGCAAATTGAATGGCTTTATTGTGTAAGAGTACTGGATAAAATAACAATGTTCTTCAGAAATGCTTCTGAAGGAAAGAGTTTTTTACACTAATGATGCCTACTAAGGATTACTATTGCTTACTTAATGTTTCTATTTAGACCCCTGACGGCGCCACTTTACAATCTGACTTTTTTATTATCAATTCACAAATACACTCTGGAACGTACAATCTTGGTGACCTTGTAAGGTAAGTTACCTTAACTTATGATTCAAGTTGAAAATAATCTACTCTGCCTATTGATGTGCATCTTCTCCTAAAGCCCAGGAATTTGGAAGGTGATTGCAAAGTTCAGCACCAGCACACAGAGCTTTGTGTCAGAGTTTGAGGTTAAAGAATATGGTAAGTCTAGGGTTGCTAAACTTGTGGCCATCAAATGGAGACGATGATAAAATGTGCAATGCTCATTTCACAGTGCTTCCAAGTTTTGAGGTGGAAGTGAAGCCTTTGCAGCCCTGCTTCTATGTGGACAGCAAAGAACTCAAATTCAGCATTGAAGCTACGTATGGAAAATTGATTGGTACACATAAGGAACTTCTTAGGAACTGAAAATAAGTTGTTTCATTCATGGTTTCAGGTACACGTTTGGTAAAAAAGTGGATGGATCAGCCTATGTTGTTTTTGGAGTTATGCATGAAAATCAGAAAGAAAGCATTTCTGATTCTCTCCAGAGAATTCCGGTAAGTTGTTTTAGACTTTTCTGGACAAATATTAAGTAGGATCCCATTCAAATTTTGATGTGATTTATAACAGTTAGTGGCTTTCCAAAACTGTATATTGTTTGGTATTATATTTGATGGTAAAATATGTTTCATTTAGATTGTTGAAGGTCAAGGAGAGGCCAAAATAACAATCGAGAACATCAACACTATCAAAGATGTGAACAGCCTGGTTGGGGAAACTATATTTGTAAAAGCAAGTGTACTGACAGAGAATGGTAAGAATGACGAGAGGAAATGAAAGCTTTTTAGAAATAATTTTTGCTACGCATGATCAATATTTGGAGGTCTAAGTGATTCACTAATAATGAAACATGGCAAATAGGTGGTGAATTGGTGGAAGTTGAGTTGGGAGGCATCAAGATTGTCACATCGCCTTACACCATCAGCTTTAAAAAAACGCCCAAATATTTCCAAACAGGATTATCGTTTGATGTAACGGTAAGTAACATTTTTATGTCTCATCAGAAAAATGTGTAGGCCCCCACCCCAACAAAAAAAACAAAAAACTGTTGGTTTTACTTAATCAGTGGAAGCCTTTCTGACACATTAATACCAGTGATAAGCTTGGCATAAATGGTGTGCAGAACTGTAAAAGGATTTTGCATGTTAGTAACAGAGTCGAACTGTGTTGAACATAAAAAAAAACATCATTGTAAAAGTTAAAACAATGCTTTCAAGTATTGGTTTTCTTTTTCTTTAACAGGTTGAAGTTTTAAATCCTGATGAGAGTCCAGCGAAAGGTGTGGAAATGGTAGTTGATCCGGGGTCAGTTACAGGTTTGACTGGAGCCACTGGATTAGCGAGGCTTACCATCAATACAGTGGCAAGCTCAGATCCCCTACTTATTACAGTAAGTCATTTGGATCCTTCATGTCAAATTGCTCTTCTGTAGTGTAAAGGTGGAATTGACCTGCTTGGCTTTTGGCTTTTATTGTGAAATAATTTCCTGATTTCCTTGTTTTTATTTATTTTTTGTATATATTCTTAGTCAACTCTTTCTTTTATTTTTAACTACTTGAAAAAATACAACTGAACTTTTTTTTTTTTTTTTAAGACAGCAGCTGCTCTGAAGCCTTTTCAAAATCTATAGGTCAATCCTAAAAAATGTTATTTTAGGACATGACCCAACTGAAATTATGCCAGTGACTTAAAGTGCTTTGCTCTGGTGATAGTTGCTTTAACACACAGGCCGTCTCTGCCTTGCTGCATTTGGGTCCATTGTCATTACTACATCATGATAGTCATGCATTTATTTTATAAAAGCTGCAATAAATGTAGTTTTCTCTTAGATTATTATTATTATTATTATTATTATTATTATTTTCTGCGGGTTAGAGGGGGAGTAGGTGAAAATGAGGAAGGATGCAACAGAATCAAGTGCAAGTAATCTCTTTGAACAATCGATATCAATTGTCTAAACTAGCTACAACTCCCGCCTAACATTAGCTCGCCTCAGGGGCGCAACTACATATTATTCAGGTGGATGCGAAAACATAAATCGGCGCCCCCCCCAAAAGGAAGGTACATAAGGGTGAAGGAGCGTAAGGGCGCGGTGAAGTGTATGCGAGGGCATCATCGGCGCGTCGCCCCTTCCAGACGGGGTTTTTGACGCCCCCTCTGGTGCAGCGCCCCTATGCGTTGCATGCGCTGCATACCCACTTTTTGCGCCACTGGCTCGCCTTGAGCCCAGGTATGGATCTCAGCTGGCCTAATCAAAAGGCTACATTTTAGCTGAGAATAAAACTCTGAAGCTATATGAACAAATGTGTTGAGATGAGTGCACATTCAAATTTTCATGTGCATAAACGGAGAGTTTTTTGGCTAGTCGAACACCGCTCACTTAAGACGTAAAAGACTTGTAGTAAAGACAGCGGAACAAGTATAGCTGTGCCCATATTCCCAGAAACCAGTTTCTTCTTCCTTATTTCATAATATCACAGGTTAAGTCTGTCAATTGCTTTTTTTCCCTTTCTTTAAATGCTTGTCTAATTTTAGGCAAGGACAGATGATCCTCAAATCCATTCTGAAAGACAAGCATCAGTCAACATGACAGCCTACCCATACCAAAAAGAAAGCAACAATTACATCCACATAGGTAAGTGATTTCTAGACATATTTTAGTAAACTCTTACCCTGGTAATATCAGTAACATACCAAATACACGGGTCCCACTTTAACAGCTGAAATCTCTGACTGCAGGTCTGGACACAACACTTGTGAATTTGGGAACAAACTTGAAAGTTAATTTTTATTTTGAAAGCCAGGATAGACATTGTGACATCACATACCTCGTGAGAACCATTCTTTAAATCTATGTCTTGTTAATGGGCATGCTTTCAGAGTCTGATTTCCTTTGTTGCATAGTTAAGCTAACCCTTCCCACAGGTCTTAAGCAGAGGCCAATTGGTCCGGTATAAACGATTCAGGAGAGAAGGTCAGTCACTGGTCACCATGATGCTTCCAATTACCAAAGAAATGCTGCCATCCTTTCGCCTTGTTGCCTACTACCATCCAAAAGAGTCAGAAGTGGTGTCTGACTCTGTTTGGGTGGATGTGGAAGACACCTGCATGGGATCGGTGAGAGAAATGTTACATTGCAAGTAAATTTCAGGATTTAATGAATCACATCTCTAATGGATTTTTCTCTTTCTTTTTTAGTTGACGTTAATCTCAAACAAGAAATCATACTTGCCTCGAGAAAAAGGCATGCTTGAGCTTAAAGTCACAGGAGATCCAGGGGCAAAAGTGGGTCTGGTTGCAGTCGACAAAGGGGTCTATATTCTGAACAACAAGTACCGTCTGACACAGAAAAAGGCAATTTCTTTTTCTTTCTTTCTTTTTTTCCAAGTTTAACATGTTGGATTTCTTTCCTTTGCATGTGCTTTAAAAAAAGAAGAAAATAACACTCAATATGATTCTATAAGTTTGTATAGACACAGTTTTTCCCAACCCTGGTTCTCAAGGGACACTGGCCTGCATGTTTTAGACGTCTCCCTCCTTTAATGCACCTGATTCAGATCATTGCAGATCATTGCAAACGCCATCAATTGAAATCAGCCGGGCTGAAGCAAGGACACACATAAAACATGCAGGACAGTGTGTTTTCAGGACCATAGTTGGGAAACACTTTTATTATTACAATACCATTCAAATTTGAAAATTTGCCACAAATGGTTTCAAATCCATAGCAATTTGCCACAGAAAAATACATCCGCATGATGATCATGCAGAGATGAGGTAGTAAAAAATATATACATATATATTTTT